CCGTCCTCCTCTCTCCTCCACTCCCACTCCTCCTCCCTCCTCCTCTCCTCTCCTCTCCTCTCCGCTCCCTCTCCTCTCCTCTCCTCTCCTCTCCTCTCCTCTCCTCTCCTCTCCTCTCCTCTCCTCTCCTCTCCCCTCCTTTCCTTGCTCACCTCCATCATGCTCTCTGCCATGCTGCTCTTCACTTCTGCTGTCGTCTGCACGAACTCATCGAGCAACACGGCCACAACTGGAATTCGCATCTCAGGGAGGAAACGGAACATCCCGGTCACCGATGTTCATCATGACGATCCCCGTGATCAGGTAGTAGCTAACAAAGAAGAAGTTGATCTGCAGGAGGAAGCAAACTTGAGAAGGATGCAGGCACTTGCAATGGAGCAGCAGAGGGTAGGAAGGAGGGTGGAGGACAGGCATAAGAGAACTCGATAGGAAAGTTGGAGCAGGAGCAGAATTGGCGGCGCAGCAGCAGCGGCAGGGCTCGTCAACAACCGGCAAATCATGGGAGAAGACTCCAGTGTTCATAGGGCGAACGATGTTCGTCACCCAACCGTCTCCTGTCGCGATCTGAAACATCTGATGCCCCAGTTAGCACGGCAGGAGAGCGAGCGGGAGGGAAAGGAGAGGAGAGGACAGAGGTAGCTGGAGCAGGAGCGGCAAAGATAGAGGTAGGGGGGGCAGGAGCGGGAGCGGGATAGGCTAGGACGGTGGTACCGAGCGAGGATGGGAAAAGGAGTGAGATAGCGGGAGCGGCAGCGGAAAGGACGGAGGTAGCAGCGGCAGAAAGGACGGAGGTAGCGGCAGCGGGAGATGAAGGGGGGGGGGAGAGGAAAGGTACCGTGAACAGGGCGAGAGAGAAGCTGCCGAAAAGCTCCTCGTCCTCGGCTCCGAAGAAGATCACGGCCATCACCTTCAACCGCCCAGCATCAGGCCCAGCACATCTCCGGCTGGTGACCCACCGCGTAGAGAGATGAGAAGAGGAGGAGGATGCAGAAGGCGTTGGCGACCGGGACGATGGCGGACGTCATGGACTGAACGATAGCGCGCAAGGAGGGCATCTTCTTGAACAAACGAACCACCTGCGTCCCACTAAGTCACCGAAGACTCAAAACTCCTGCTCCTTCCTGTCCAAAATTGTACACAGCTGTCTCGACCTCCTCCTGTTTTTCTCTCAACTGGCCCAAAGGATTCTACATCATCCCCTCCTGACTTTCCTCACCCCATCCTTGTTCTTCTTTCTCACCCTTGCCCTCCTCCTTGTTCCCCTCCTCCCAGATCCTTGTCCTCTTACCCGAAAGATACGGACGAGACGGAGGAGGCTCACTCCAGGGAGGTTCTGGATCATGAGAGAAACGATGGAGATCACGACGACGATGAAGTCGAAGACCTTGCAAGACACCAACAAGTCACTTCTCTCCCCGCCTCTTCATCTCTTTCCCTCACATTCCAACCGTCCAGGAAGAAGGAAAGGGGGCCGGTTGATATCAGGTTTGCGACGAGCTCCAAGGAGAAGATGACTATGAAGAAGATCTCGAGGGAATCGAACACATGGGACGTGCTGCTCCCGCTCGTTGGGAGCAGCTGGTAGTTGAAAACACTGACGAGAAAGTTGAACATGATGAGGAAGGCAAGGAAAAACTGGACGGGAGAGGACGTGTAGATCGTCCTGACACGGTACTGAAGTCTCGACCGCTTCCCCTGCATGGACTTGAGCCTCTTCTCCTCCTGCCTCTTGCAGTCCTGGATAGCACGCGACCACAGCATGCACGCCTCGTTGCTGGAAGCTCGGAGGGTGTAGGTCCTCCCGCTATTGAACCCGTTTGCCACTGTGAAGATGTTGAAAACCCGTGCCTTCGAGGGAGGGGTCTCTCCCACGTTCCCCAGCATGAACGTGCTGGAGGACTGCTTCTTGTCAGCGCGGGCATGCGCGAGGAACTCTTCCTCATGCTCCATCGAGACCGTCACCACGTCCATGATCGGGATCACGTCCGAGACTTCTGCCCCTGGTCTCCGCGCGAAGGAGATGGCGTCTCTACCGAGCGCTACATACCTCGGCCGCCAAGTCAGCTCCAGAGTCTGCTTCTCCAGCTCCCCCTCCAGCACCAAGTCGTCCCCCGTCGGCAGCTTCCCCCATCCCATGGACAGCCCGCTGAATCCTCCCGGGGCTTGCGGGGAGAGGAGATCGTCCGCTGCAAACTCATCTTCGGTCTCCGCGGAGATGTCTACTTGCAGGCCTTTGCTGCCCCGCCAGGTTGAGGTAACCATGCTGAATGCTCTGTGGGTATGGGATGAGGAGGGGAGGGAAAGAGAACGGCAGGCCGGTAGGTACCAGTCAAGGAGGAGAAGGAGGGAGGCGGTGGGGAGCAGGCAGGGCGTCCGCAGGAGGGGAGCAAGAACGAGCAAGCAAGATCAGTGGGTCTGCAGCAGTCCAGTCAGCGCAGGAACGAGAAATTCGAAGACAGTCTGAATGAAAACTTCCACTAAGAACTAGAGGGGAGAAGACAAGTTGTTCTCTCAGGCGAGGAAATGATAGTACAAGAACCAATGAACATGTAGAAGGAGCAGGGACTGCTAGTCACGAGGACTGTTGCGTGATGACAGCAGTAACAGGGCAGGACTCTCAGTTGAGGGCAGATGAGGGAGGTGAAGGAGAGCGAAAGGGACGTACAGTCTGCTCCATGAAGCCGCTCAAGGGACTGTAGGACAGCTGTAGGAAGGAGAGCAGTATGGGTCAGAGTATGGGTTGGCGGGAGCAGGGCGGCAGGGGAGTGGGCAGGTGTGTGGGGAGGGCAGGAAAACAAAATTTGACTGAAAGGATGATAACCCTCTACCCCACTTTTGACTGGACCAGACTGGGTACTCCATGGTGGGGTCCGGAGATCATGGAACGAGATATTTCAAGCTCGCCTCAAGTATTTACTAGAAGAAGAATAAAGACAGTCATAATTGATATCGAGGATATAGGAAAGCTCTGTTGTTTCGAGTCTGGACTTCAAGTTCGCCTGGGTAATTAAGGAAAATTGCGTCCAAAATTTGAATATGTAAGTCATGTTTCCATGAGTCGTACTCAAATACAAGCGGGTGTGCTGTCGTTACAAGCACAATCGTTATTCTGCAACGGTTGGTAACTGTTCCACGAAGAGGCGCGATGCAGCGGTGGGCGGGGGTAGCTGCATGGGGCGCAGCGATGGTGCTGGTGATGATGGTGGTGCAGCCGTTCCGCTCTTCTCATCCAGTCGTGATGGAGCAAGCCGAATCAGCGCTTGCTCAGCATGAGCAGCAGCGACAGGCTGCCAGGGGCACCATGTCAGGCTCCGTAAAACTCAAGAGCGCTGCCGCCCTCCTCATGGGAACTCGCAAAGTTCGCGCAAAGAAGATGCAGGTTGGTGGCCATGTGGCTCCCGTGGCTCCAAAAAGCAAGCAGGTGCACAAGAAACTGAGCGGCAAGAAAATCTTCGCTAGGATGATGTCTATCATCCACAAGAACGTTGCCGGCCAGAAGAAGCACATGAAGGCGCCTCCTGCTCCTGCAGACATTCCTGTGCCGAAGTCTGCCAAGATGAGGCATGGCAGAGCTATCTCCCTCAAGCAAATTTTGGAGGAGGATAATGCAGATGCTGAGAAGGAAGGGAAGGGGAGGAGGAAGTCACCGACATGGAACTTGACCCACCAACCGGCACCATATATGTGTACCGCGGGAGGGAAGTGAAGACCAACGCCGACGAGATCACAACATTCATTCTTGCTGGTGGATTCGGCGTTGAAGACGTCAAGTACATTGAGGGCGCTTCGGATGCAGATATCCGAATGGCCACTTGGGATAAGGATTGCAAGGCCATCATTTTCCCTCCTCTTCATGACATTCCCGATTTCGGCCCAAATGCTGTGAAGGATCTGCGGGCGTTTGCTTCTCACGGGATGCATCACAGTGGCACGATTCTGTTCATGGGTTCCTCGGTAGAAGTTCACATCATCAACGATGTCTTCGGCTATGAGCTTGAGCAGGACTTCAAACCTGGTCCTTACTACAAGAACGAGAGGGGGGTTCTTGGAACAGCTCTGCAGGATCTACCTGATAGAGTGAACGAATTGGGCAACACCGAGTCTCTTGGAGTGCTGAAGTCTTCCATGCCTCCTGAGTCCAGATCCTACTACGACTCGTTTGGTGACTCAGTGGCGTTCTGCGTTAGGTATGACCTCGGCAGGGTTTGCTATCTTGCTCAAGACTTCAAGTTATTGGAGAGAATGCCCCAATTGCAGGTGGAACTGGCTGAGAGCGAAGATGAGGAGCTGCAGATCGAAGCGGAGCGCGAGCTCGAGGCGCTGGGTAGGAAGACAGACACGTGGTTGGCCATTATGGAAGGAATGCTTCTTACTCCCGAGATCTCCGCGCCTGAGCCCGTGAAGCCTGAATCAGATTGAGCTGTATCCATATTTTTGTAATCAACCCTAACTTCTGAGTATGCTGCTTTTGAGTGTGACTGGTTAGAAAGAATAAACTGTCATAAAGGATGAAGTTGTATGCGCTATGCAATCGTGCCCTCGTCCATACTACCACATCCTTAGGAGAATCTATTCAACCTTTCATCAGTGGCGCATAACATCTCAGAACATTGTTTGCGGTGATAACAGCTAAATGACTCCTTGAATGATACGCATTGAAAACTGTCACCTAAACCTGTGTTAGCGTATGTCGATAGGGGAGATAACATCCATCACCTTGCGGAGCACAAGGCAAGAGCCAGAAGTCAAATTGTCGCCTTCCTCCTCCAATACCTGCTGACTGTATCACATGGATATTCATCAACGCTGGTATGTACGTTTGCATGGATGGTTGCCTTCATCTCTCCTGTTGGGTCCTTGATAACCTGTTGTTGAGATCATTCCATCACAGTTCGGCGAATAACTGTATGGATAGATACTGACCGCATCAGCACAATCATCTAGCAGATTAATAGATTTGACGAATGCAAAGAGCTTGGGAATCTTCTTGAGGTATCCATCTTTCAAGACCTGAGCAATCGTTGTCTGTACAAGAGGGTGATTGCATGTCACTGTTGTAGCCCCTGGTGAAGTGGCTAGGTACACAATGTCATGCGCTTCACTTCCTTGCTGTCTCAGGTCACCTCTGAATGGAGGTATGTCCAAATCCTGACTTTGAAGTCAATTGCAAGGAACTCGTTTCAAAAAAGCAACCTTCAGCATCTTGAGCCAAGTCGGGGACGAGAAATCAGCATCATCGGGGTCTATCGATGCACGCTTGCGACGAAGAGGCAGCTCTAGCATTGTGGAAGTAGCAGGGGTCGCAGAGCATTGAGTCATTCTGCTCAACACGGGATCAGGAACATATTCTAAGCAAGAAGAACATTTGCCAGTCAGAGGGATGATGAAGATGTAACGTGAAGAGAGTAACATCAAAAACGTGGTATATGCATCGATGTCTTACGTCTCTTGCGTTGTTTGTGTCTCGCAGAACCCAGCAGGGCCAGGAATGCTTCGTGTTTCATCCTACAATGCCATCAGCAAATCATCTTTTGCATTTTGTAATCAAACCACTTTCGAGTCTAGGCTGTCATGACATTCTTCTGGCAATTTCCAACGTTCTGCATTAGTCAGTACAGATGCTGTATATACTTCGCCTGAGAGAACTTCGTCTTCATTCCTTCTCCCCCTGAATGACTCCGTCTCTTTTTGAATGAACGAATGCCTCTCTGCTGGAATTTCTGATACTTGTCCCATCCTCTCAACTGTTCTGTTTTCTATATGTCTCACATCTTTTTGCGTAGATGAACTAGATCGTTGAGAAGGTTGACTGTTCTGCCGATTTTCTCCGAAAACAAAGGCATTCCCCTGAGAAGTAGCACATTTGTCCTGGCTCTCGGACAGATGCTCGATATCGACACGTGAATGGTCTACCTTACGAGCAATCTGGCTGAATTTTTGACTATCATTGGGGGGGTTGAAGTCAAAGAGTTTCCCGCTACTTTGGGATGGGCGAACTGGCTGCGATGTTGACTGTGTATTCACAGTCGGCGAGATTTGTGGGCTCGTCAGCATCGATGAAGTATCATGGCTCTCCAGCATTGAACTTAGAAACAATCCTCTAGGGCGAGATGAAAGCGAGGAGGAGTCATCGATGTTCAGATCTTCATCTTCGTCTTCTACATTTCTTCGCCTTGCCCCGCTCGCCAGCGGCAACCTGGCATTGCCAAACAGCGGCATACTGGCGGGAATTTCTGCCTCGTACTGATTTTTAACTTATAACTTTGAGTAAAGTCTCCGCGGTCTGCGCTTTCACTCACTCACGGTGGCAAGTTTGGCGGACGGACTCGGGACTGAGGCCCGGCCTTGGCGCGGGCGGGCGGGCGGCTACTCCGGGCCGCGCCGCACGGTGGCGCGGCCCGCCGTCACCGTCGGCGCCGCAGTCACCGCGAATGCCCAGGCTCCCGGAGTCTGACGGCCGTGCTGCGGGCTGGCAGTAGCTGCCGGGCCACTGAGGCTGGGCCGCCCGGCCGAAACGCCGTAACTGTGGCAGGCCGTGCGGAAGCGGCCGCTCCGAGCCATGATACACTAACTTGAATGTCCCGGGCCGGGACAGACTCAGACTCTAGTTATTGTGACCGTACAGCTATTGTCGAATCACCCCGCGGCGGCGTGAGTCAGCAAACTGATCTCTTGGAAGTTTCAGAGTCTGTATCGGGACTGATCACGGGGCCGCGCTGAGCTGGACTGAGTTTATTCGCTGGGGCTTCTTCATGCCATGATTGGGTCACTTGAGCAAAGAACTTCCTGATTAGTGCCGGCCGACCAAGAGCCTCGTCAGTGGTGAGCCGCCGCATGAAGCTAGCAGGAGGCCCGGAAACGACCCAGGGCGGCTAGGCTTCGGAATCCTCTGGAGACTTGTGTTGCCATCTGCACTCAGATCAGATGATCAAGCCAGCGGTCGGATAGGGGGAGACGTTCACCGGTAGACATGGATGGAGAGTCGGCATGCCCTGTCGAAGAAGTAGTGATCCGAGGAGGACCTGGGAACCCTGACCTTCTTGTTCATCTGGTCCGAAGCGTTAGAGAATCCGAAACATGCTATCAGCCCGAGGTACTTTGAGAGCTTCTGCCTTTCGCCGCTGACTCAGAAATTCAGAGACTTTGACAGTTTCGACTAAATCTGCGCAGCAGCGTCAGTCTGGCGATTCAGGCTGCGGGTCGAGGAGGCTACATGGTGCAAAATGCTTCCTCAAGAAGCAAACGACTTGCTCGTCTTGAAAGCCGAAGATTCCATACGCATTGGTCTCAACAGCCAATTTTCTGAACGCCCCTTGTCCGGTGAGACTGCGACGACCGATTAGGGTGAATCGCACACACTCGTAGACCACCTTTTGTCAAGTTCCAGTGCCAAGTTCATCAGGCATGTCGCAGGATTGGAATGCAGGTTGGCTCCAAGCAGCATGCGAACGGATTTGAAGTCGGGCCCGATGGGGAGCAGGTTGAAAAGAACCCTCGGGCTAGGGTTGTGCTGTTCGTTGCCTGTGTTGTCCACTCCGAAGGAGGTCTCCCACTTGCAGGGGACGCAGCCAAAGAGAAAGATATTTCCTTTCATCCCAATAGGGATTGGAATGTCCTCTTCCTCCTTCTCCTCCGTGACAATATCCTTCACTGGCATATCACCCTCGTCCGGGGTTGCTTTTTCTCCCCCATCATCCGACAACGGAACTCGAGCGCTGCTCTTGTCCGTTTGCACTTTCAACTTCCTCTTTGTGTTTCCCTTCACATACTCCAACCACACCTTCTTTGCATGTGGTCCAACATACACTCGCCCCCAGCATGTGATATTGCTCTTGAGTGCGCTGTGCCACTCCTCAGAATTGTAGGTCTCATTTGAGACTGCAACTAAGGCCTGCGAACAGAGTCAAGTCGAACAACGCCATATAACGACCGAAGGACCATACTTGAAACCCCTTGTTTGGTCTTCCATTCTTGTATGCCTCGGTTGGTACCTGTTGAACACGTCGGGACAAAACCCAAGGAAATCAGTAAATGCGCGCACCATGGACAGAGACGGCTTCGGTCGACATTCGTCCAAGAACGATTCGAAGATAGCTTGGGCCTTGGCAATCACTGAGTAAGCAGACATTGCATGATTCTGACTTACGCAAGACTCAGGGGTGGTCTCGTGCTCGTAGGCCTTCAAGATCTGGTCATGAAGGTGGCTGTGGGAACGTCAGCAGGGAAGGAGCTAGAAACCTAGAGCCCCACCTCCTGGTTTCATCTTTTCTCCGAATCACCATCAAATTTCAGCGGATGAGTCCTAATGACAAAATGCACCCACTTGCTGCCAAATTATAAAGTTCACAGATAAAAATCAATTGTTTTTCTCTCAAGCAAGCAAATGTGTCACGAATCTTCGAAACCTGTGACAGAGTTAATGGAGAAATTCACGGTCAATGAGAACAATCCTAGTGGTACAAATAAAGATAATCTAAGTCACCATCATCAGCCATCAATGCAGCTGGAACGTATCAAACAATCAACAGAATGCACAGGAAAAAATCACTGCAATTTTTTCACGAGTGCAAGAGCATCATCTTGATTCAATGCCAGAAAACGAGAGAGAGAAACTGTCATATGACATGTCTCCTTCTATCGAGGCTCTAGTTTCATCAGAGATCCATGCTTAAGCTCCCCAGACGGTCTACGAACAGCATGACGCCCCTCCCTCTCTCTAAGGAAAGCAAGAAAACCCGTTGCAATCTTTGTGGGTCCTACCACCCCTACCCACAAATCCCATGATTTGTAGGGGTGGGTGCGGGATGATGTGCCCCGGGTCCGGGATCCCGGGGTCCCGGGCCCAGCCAATCCGACTCAGCTGCTTCTTACAACTAATAATAGTAGTATAAATCCGTTACAAATCATCTAGAACCGTTTCCTCTATCTGGCTGCCAGTTCAGTCAAAGGTCAAACTCACCCCCCACACCCACCCCACCCCCCAGCTACCCATTTTATGCTTCTCTAGATCTAACCCCACCCCTCTGTCAACTTCAAAAGTTCCTCACCACGTGATCGGACCCGTTTATATCATACTGGCAGACCCACCCATAAAACTACCCCACCCCGAGTCAATGCGTATTTGTAACCATCAATTGACCTCTACCCTACCCTCATTTGCTCGCTTTGCCTCGTCACCACTACAACTCTCGCTCAGTCGAATAGCAGTGGTGGTGACCCCACCCACTTCCAGCCTTCGCACCCCACCCCGACGTGTCCTGACTTATAAGGGGTACTCCAGCTGTTCCCTAAAACTTCAACTACCGGTGGTATCGACAGAGAACAACCCTACCCCTAGGTTCACCGCTAACTCTACCCACGATTGTAGGCAAATCCTACTACACCTGACAGACCCCCACCCCCTCCTGTTCTAAGCATGCCTCACACGTTTATCCATTATACTACCCCTACCCACTATAAACCTGCCTTTGATACTACCACTACCCATAAAAATCCCTAAAAGTACCCCAGCGAATTCCGCCTAATTGGCTCCTCTCGGGTTCAGAACCCCCACCCCCACCATGAACAATGGAAAGGAGAACGTTTTGTGGTGATAACGGGGTTACAATCACTTCCATTCTAGACCACCCTCCCATTCTCCCATTCTACACGATACAATCTGTGGGTAGATATGATTAAAAAGAAGATAACTAAACATTGCTCTATTATCGTTCAGTACTATCGTTCTCATTTCCACAAGGGGGATGGAGCGACTGCATCTTCAAGCATGTGCTTGACCTTTACCTATAAAATTTCAATATTTCATTTACATTTCTAAATATGCTTTGAGTTATAGAAATCAACGCTGAGACTCCCGAGCCTCGGGTGCTATCCATGGCGGCGGGAAGGCTATGAAGAAGCATATTATCCTGAAGCACGCGGGCACCTCCCCCCTCCCTGCTTCTCCTCCTCTTCCTTCGTCTCCTTCATTGAACCCCAAGGAGTCTTGTGGCCTCACGGTGCATTCTCCCAGCCAGCCGGCTGGGTGGGAAACCGTCTCCGATGGATGGATTGGCTTCAAGAAACTTCGCAGATTTCTGGAACATGGAGGGAATGGCGCAGTGGTTCCCGATGGTGAAGATAATGGAACCAAAAGTCATGGACTTGTAGATAGAGTTAATTGCTCTTCACACGGAGGAGTGGTTGTCGAAAGCAAACAGACCGGGAAGCCCGAAGTCCCTGCCCTGCAAAGCGATCACAAGGCGGCAGAGAATGATGCTGAAGGTAATGATCTTCTCTCCCTCGTGTTCGCATGAACGACTTTCCTGATTTGTTCTGCTCAGGAGCGTGTGGGCCGAAGGAACTGGCTTCTGAAAATGCGGGGAAGGTTTGGCCGAAGAATGGAGCACAAACAGAGGTCAAATCGCACGAGGATGTTGAGACTCCCCCGTCGGAGCATGCTGCTAAGGTGAAATCTTCTTGTCGACCATCTCATAGACCTGACATGTTCCCCCTTCATTTTCGATGCTTCCAGAAGGAAAGTTCAAAAGCCTCAGAAGAGCCTTTAGCTCAAGCGGACGAAGTTCGCAGTGAAGATGTGTATGTCAAGGAGGATGTGCAAGAAAAATCAACCAGCCTTAGAGAAGACCGAAAATCTCAGAACAAGGGTGAAGAAATGGAAATGCCTGCATTGGAGGCAAAGATTGGTGGGGCGTGGTTCGACATCGAACTTCTCGGTGTTGATCCAGACGAGGACTTGTTCCATGTTATGGGAAGGGATACGGGTGAAAAGGAATGGGTGACTTGCCAGGAGGTGAGATTGCAGTGCCAGCCATACGAGAACAAGCCTAGCGTTGGTACGACAGTCTGCTTGTTTCGGACCGCCGACAATGAACAGTTGTACTACGACGCAGTTGTTGATAGTGAGAAAAAGGACAACAAATTCTTCGTCACACTGCTTGATGGACCAGAGAAGGGTAAAAAGGTTGTTGCCAAGCTCCAAGACATCTATGAAATCAGCAGCGAAAAGCTACCTATCTCGTCATTACGATCGTGGTGCAAGGCAGTGTACAGAAAGGTTGATTCGCTACCAAAAGTTGTAAACCTCAAGAAGGGTGATTATGCCATGTTCGAAGCTCCAGGAAACGAGAACTTTCGAGTTGCTCAGCTTCGGGAGCCCTACACAGCTGAAATTCAGGAAGAGGTCGACGAGGACGAAGATGGACCTGAGATTCGTGTTCGGTGGATGTTCACTGCGCAACAACTCAAGAAAAAGCGAAAGAAATTGCTCAAAGGGGAGGACACAGACGAACATGAGGTATTTGTTTCAGACATGGAGTCGTTGATAGATGCCAGACTCATCGTAGATCAATGCTTCGTGAGTATTGTTGAACACCCTCCGGACACAAAGGATTGGGCCAACAATCGGTTTTTTGCCAACAGGGTTTTTGATCGTTCAGAATACAAGATAGTTTCTATTTCTGATGAATCCCTTGATCTGAAGCTAAAGAAAATCGTGAAGAGGCTTCTCTCTCGCAACAGAAAAAACGGTGATAAGGTCCACGATGCAGAGGATGGAAACGACATTGATTCGCATGAAGTCCAGAAAGAAGATTCGACCCCCGCACATCGGAAATCAAATCATTCAGATGCTTCAATTGATCATCCTTCCAAGAAGTCGCTTCCTTCCGGTGAAGAAAGCAGTGAAGATTTCACCAAGAATCCAAAGCAAGTAAAGGATAGGCTATCTAACAAAATGCCAGCTAAGGAGAATGCTGTTCAAGTTGTGGCGCACGACGATGAAAAGCGGTCTCCAAGCGAAAAGAGCCACAACAAGGGAGATGAGAATGGTAGTCGCAAACGAAAAAGTAGTGAACTGGATGATACCGCGCGTGCTGAGAGTGAAGGGAGGTGCAAGAGTGAAACGAACAAGCGCAGTCCTAAGAAATCACATGGGATCTCGCCAGCGCAGGTGTCGGCAGATCGAAAAGTTAAGCTGGAGAAGGAGCCTCATTTGCAGAAGATAGGCAGTACTACGAAACGCGAAGATGTTGATGAGAAAAGGGACAAGACGACGACGAAGTCAGATAGTAACAACAAACGGTCTGAAAAGAATGTTGTGATGGAGCTCTCAATCCCCAAAGTGGGGTCGAAGCAATCAAAACCATCCTCAGGTGAAAATGAAAAGAGGATAACCAGCCACGAGAAGGCTTCTGGAAACAAGAAAGAAATCAAGAGAACAGAAGAGCTTCATACCAAGAATGACAAGACATATCCCCCAAAGCACAATGCTTTAATTAACACGTCTCTAACTTCAGACATGAATTCGCATGCAGATACACAAGCTAAGACGGGCGGCATTAGGTCGGCAGCGACAATCCAGGCAATCCAGGGAAATTCTTCAAAAAAGTCCTCCTCGGGGGGGATACAGCAAGAGCATCATAAGCAGACTGAAGGAGGCAAAGCTTGCAGTCAATCTGCAAGTTCACTTCCATCCAAGGTCGATAATGCACATGTGAAGTGCAACATCAATAACTTGGGTCATGATGTTGAAATTTCAAAGGGGCTAGATGACGATGGAACAAGTCGCAACTTTGACGCTTTGACGAATTCCTGTGAACTAAAATTAGGATCCCCGCGCAAAGACTCAGTTGAGATGTACGACCCAGCAGAGATCTCTGACGATCTCGACGCCACAGTTGTGAAGAAGCGTACAAGTCCAGTTTTTGATCATGGCCAGACTGATTCTGAGTCGGGACGGAAATACGGACCGGAAACCATGTCGGACTGTCCCGCAACTGATGAAGCTGACCATCAAGAATCGCAGAACACCGTGAAGGCAAGTAAGAAGCCGCTGACGACTTACCTCCCTGAGCTATCCCTCCCAGTCCTACCAGGATTGGCCGACCATGGCCATGAAAGGACACAAGAGACGAAAGAAAACGACAACTTTGAGAATCGGGGGTCTGAGAGGAAGCATTCAAAGCCCGCGGACTCTTCTTTTGGGAATGAGAAGTCCAAGAGACGCAAGACGACGGCCCATGTGCAGTCTTTCCGCATCTCGATCCTGCAGTGCAAATGGAAGTTCATTGCGTATCAGCACGTGGATGGGGGGAAGAAGGTTGAAGATGTCAGCTTCGGAGAGGGCGAGAATGTCCATTGTGCGCTGAGCTTCCGGGACGACCGGGACAGAGCCATCTGCGATGAGCAGACCATCACAGCGGTGACTAAGACGCTTCGCTTCCTCGTCTCCGGTGCGAGCTCGACGGACCAGGATGAAGTGTTGACACCCTTGGAGACGAGCTCGTTTGGGGAGGTGTTCTGTTGTCAGGTGAACATCGGGAAGGCGGGGACGTACACCCTTCAGCCCTTCCTGGTTGACGACAAGGATGTCAGGCACCTGATTGGCTCTCCGGAAAGGGTCGTGATCACCCCAGGGAAGGTGCCTCTGCTCTGTTCGGAAATCTCTTTGTTCGAGGTTGGACGAGGACAGAAGCTGGTCAGTCTATGCTCGCCTCCAGGCTCAGGGTCAGCCGAGCAGGTTTGCGCTGCTGGGATCGTGTCACGTGGCGCAAAGATTGAGGTTGAGATCTCGTTCAATCCAGCCCACTGTGGGGATGGAGGGAAGATAGATGAGAAGCAAGCGCAACGAGTCCTTTCGCAGCTGCAAATGCGCTGGGTCAAGCCGGTGCAACTCAAGGAGGACGTGTGGAAGGCTGGTGGCTCTGAGGGCTCGAGCGTCTGCATGGCAGCGGAGGTGGTTGAGGTAAAGCCGCAGATGCTGAGCATGACCGACTCGTCCGCCCGGGTTGCCTCGTTGCAGTTTGACATCGTCGGATGTCATGTACTTGTAGCCAAGTTCGACGATGGGCCGAAGACCTTCCGCTTTGACTTAGCTTGTTGTGTATAAATAGGCAATCGAGACATCATTCCTTGGTGATTGAGGGGTCGATAATGGTTGGCTTGGGCTCGGCGACGCCGCCCCGGACTGTCAAGGCTCCTAACCCCCAGGCAAGGTAGCCGACGGCCATGTTCCTGCATGAGGAGCGAGTGAGCGGACGAGACCCGCGAGTGCGAGCGACTGACAGGCAGGCGGCGATCTGAAAGTGTACGGTCGTCTTGATGAACCTCGACACTGACCTGCCGTCAACACCAAGACAAGCCGCTCTGTCTACATCCTCCACCCTCCTGTCATCCACCCTCCCACTCCCCTTCCTTCTAACCTCCCACCTCCCTCGTTCCCACTCACTCTTCTTCTCTCCGTAGTTGAACGAGTCATGGCTGTCGCATCGTCACGCCAGGCAGCGACCGAGGAGGCTCAAGACCTGAGAGCGTCGCAGATGAAAGCCACGAGGGATCGGAGGACCTGGAGGTTCAGACCAATCAGGCACTAATGCTGAGGAAAATAACTCGAGGAGGAGGAGAGGAGGAGGAGAGGAGGAGGAGAGGATTGTAGCAGCAGCAGGGGAACGACACTGTTTTGACTAGAAACATGATGCGGGGGAAGAGAAAGGGCGTGAGACTGCGAGACCAAAAGGAGGGAGAGGAGGAAGAGGAGGGAGAGGAGGGAGAGGGAGAGGAGGAGGAGGGTAAAAACCGTCTGTCTTGTACTGTGACCCAAGAAGTATCTCCTGACTTTGAAGTCCACATGCGAGAGCTCTTCCCTGTTCGCATCGTCACCACCGGCCTGCTTCCTCCTCGCACCCTCCGACGAGACTGACATGCTCTTCAGGTTGCGATAAAATTCTCTCCTCCCCGGCAGCGGCTTCGGGAAAATCCTTCGGAGGAGGCTGGGCCGCTCGTGGCTCGTGAGGAGGACTAGCCCTCGATACCTCGCCTCCTTCTTCCCCTTCTGGCCCCGCCCACCTGCTGCAGAGAGTTGGAAGCAGCTACGGGTAAGCAGCAAGGAGGGCACTTGAGATCTGCTTCGTCTGCAGCGTCATGTTGCGGTCGCCTGAGCGCGGCCGTCAGGCTCGCACTGGGAGAGAGAGGAGGAGCAGACCGCAAGAAGACTGTAACCTGCCCCCAATTACGAGCTCCTTCCACTCTCTCTCGACATCTGTTGAGTTGCACATCACAGCTCACTCCCCCCAGGTCGCCCTCGCACCTTGTCCCGCCAGTCCTATCCACGTCTTGGCTTCTTCCAGCCTCCTCTCCGACAACCTGGCGGCTTCGCTCCCCACCAGCACCTGCTCGACTGTCACCCTGCTTGCCCTCGAGGCCCGCAAAGTCGCTGGAGCTTCACCGGGTTGATCAGCGCGACCGTGCGGTGCTCGCTCTGGTTGTTTCCTGCCGCTGCGATCAAGAAAGACAACAGCAGGTGAGGAAGTGGGGTTAGGGGTGGGTGGGGGGGAAGGGAAGGTTTCAGAGGAGAGAGGGAGAGGGGTAGCGGGAGGTCAAAGGGGGGAGGGGAAAAGGGTCACCGTGAAGCCTCCACATCTCCTCCATCACTCTCATCGCCAAGTTGCTGCAGCGGACGAAAGTCAGCGAGGCAGGAGCTGCCCTCACGCGCTCCGACCTCGCGAGCTCATTGCCGACGACGGCGATGCGCTGCTTGTCCACCGTCGAGCAGTTGGTGAGCCAGCTGCGACTGAGGGTGAGGGAGCGATCGGGTCAGAGCTTCTCACTTGTATGCTTCCATGGCGTCGTCAAGAGCCCTCTCGCATGAGAAGCCCTCCGACGCCAGTTGCGTCCCGCTGTGCATGACCACCAGCGTGTGCACCCCTGCGTCGCTGCCAAGACGTCATGCCCGCACCAGGAGGGAGGAGGAGAGGGGACCGAAGAGCATACGCAAGGTCCTCCCAGCTGTCTACTCCCGGAGCTCCTGGCAGCAGCCTGACAAACCTCTCACTGTCAACCCGCCAGCACTCCCCTCCTACAGTGCTGCCGGTGCCACAGTTTGGGAGTGCCGGAAGGGAGGGATAAAGAGTCGAGCGAGCAAAGGCCTCTCCTGTGCCTGCTGTCACAAGGGGACACGAGGGGAGGAGGAGAACCTGTCTGATCCTGACGTTGACGAGGCTAGCATGCGAGGAGAACTGCCACCACAGTCAGCGTCCCATGCTCGTCAAATCATCCTCTCGGTCACCCTGGGCCATTCAGAGTATGCAGTGCATGTCTGCACGAGGAGAGCAATGACAGCAAGCACTGCAACTGCTCGTCGTCTGTTGAAACTCCCGTTTGCCATCCCTCCCTCTGTCCTCCACGTTGGTCGAAGTCCCTGAGCTTGCAGTGCCTGTGACGCGCCTGATGTTCTTCGCCCTCCTTGTCTTCTTGCTTCCTCTCCCTGCCCTCGCTCTCTTCGCTCTTCACCTCTCGCCGCCTTCATCGCTCCCGACTCCTCTTTCAGCCATTGAGACGCATCCTAAGCCCTCATCCCCGCACAGATAGCAGCCTAAAGTCCGAGGCTGATCAGAACTTCGGAACTCGGAAGTCCGATCTCGGATCCTGGCAGGCTGCCGATCCAGGCCGGGGCCTAGTCCAGACGGTCCTGGAGTCTGGATCCTGGTCCGATACAGTCCGATCACCCGGCACTGAGGCTGAGATCACCCGGCCGTGGCCGCCACCGGCGGGTCTCCTGGCACGCAGCCCTCGCAGCCCGGGTCCTGCCAAGATGGTCACTGTTAGCCTGTTCAACGTTTATCATCGCGGCCTGGGGGCGGGTCCCCGTCTGATTACCCCGGGTGACACTGGCCCAACTGATGTAGTACAGTCAGTCACCATGTCACCGAGGTTTTGGCGGGCGGCGGGGGGGCATAGTCACCGCCGGGCCGAACTCAGTACGGTGGGGCTATTAGGGCAGTCAAGTTTTCAAGTTTTAAAACACGCATGTGACGGTACAGGCCGAGACTACTGAGGCTGTAGGGGGCTACGACAGCCGCTGAGGCTGCTAGATCAATTGAACGCACGACCCATCGAAGGAGCCGCTGCTGACATGGCAAAGCCGCTGAAGAATCGAGTCACTGACGGAGAGGCCCGAGGGAGCCTCCGAGAAAGGAGAGGGAGAGGGAGAGGGAGAGATAGAGGGAGAGGCGGGGAGAGTGAGAGGGGGGGGAGACAGAGGAAGACTTGACAGAGAGAGAGAGACAGAGAGGGGTAGAGAGGAGGGAGAGGGAGAGGGTGCCCCAGAAGTGGGCGAGGGAGTGATGGAATAGTGAGAAAGTGTCGCCATCGGCATGTCGTTACCCGCTCGCCGGGCGACTGTCAAGCCCTCGGAAGTCGTTGACTCGCTTGGTTCACCCGCATCAACAGCGACAGCAGCAGAGTCATAACCTACCTGAAACTCGTTGCGGAAGGAAGCCTCTCGCGCCTCAGCCTCCAGCCTCATCGCACGCTCAGCCCGCAGCTCCTCCTGTCACCCCGGGGCCACGTCAGCTGAGAGCGAGCTGGGCCTTCGGCGAGCTCACTTGAGCCCGCATGAGCTCCATCTCGAGGTATCGCTTCTCCTCCTCCGCGCGCCTCTTGATCTATGGGTGGCCGTTAGTTCTGAGGACTGGCAAGCCTCCCCCTACTTCATTCAGGTACTCCATGCGAGCCCTTTCGTTGTCCTGTGAAGCATAGCAGGTCACCTCCTTCCCCCGCCTCCTCGCCCCCGCGAGCCCACACCTGAATCTGATGCTCGCTCTCCCGCTGCCACTCAGTCCGCCTCTGAGCCTCGGCGAGGCGAGCCTGCAGTTGTGGTCAGGAACAGCTCAACTCACCGTCAGCGAGTGGGGTCAGTAGGTGCAGAGGGGAGAAAGAGGGCGAAAACCTCAAGGGAACGGCGGTATCTCTCAGCCTGAAGCATCTGCTGCTCCACCTCTCTCTTCTCGTCATCCTGCAGGCATTTCCTTCAGGCGCTCGGTCGCTCCCAGGGCTCGTAGTCACTTTCTCGCGGTTGATGTTCTCGATCTCCTTGATCCTCGCATCTTGATCGACCTCGTTCTTGTCGTACTGCTCTCGCATGCTGCAAGGCCGCCACGTCATCACTCTGCTCTCAAGGCCATCAGCACGAGGGTTGCCTGGAAAGTTCCTGTCGGTTCCGCATGATCGTCGACTCGGCCATCCTCAACGCCGATCTCAGCCATTCGTTCTGCATTGCACCAGGTCAATCCTCCACATCCGACATGTGTCCGGCAACAAACCTCCTCTTGTAATGCCCTCTGCGGAGTCTGATCGACCTGCACGGGCTGCGGCGGAGGCATCTGGGCCAGAGGTCAGTCGCCGCTAAACCCCTCACAGTCTCCTCGACAACGTTGGCGAACATCTCTGCCGACCATGAGGTGCCGAGCATGTATCTGAGACGAGTGAGACGAGGAGGAGGAAGGGGCGAGAGGCTCTGACCTGTTCAAGGTGGGGATCCGATTGCCTGCGGAGGATACATGAAAGGTCAGTAGCACGCAGCCAGGACAGCAGCTTCCGGAGACCTGAGGCATATAGGGAGACTCCAGCTGGAGGAGCCTGGGAAGAACCACCTCCCTGGAGAGCATCGAAGTAGTCTACCAAGAGCATCCTCAGCAAGCAAACCCTCACAGCTCGAGGAGGAGGGCAAGACCTGGGGTCCCGCGAATCAGGTCGAGGTCGTAGACTTCTCCCGATGATGGGTTCCTGACAGGTTGATGATGAGGAAGGCAGCGGGCAACCATGGTGAGGATGCGGGAGCTGACCTGAAGGTGACGCGAACAGCGGAACCCTGCTCTCCGATGATGAGGTGCCGCATCTCGGTCACACCGACGCCTGTCCACGCAGCCTCCACACGTCAAGTCGTCACAGGCCTGTCCTCGCCCCTACCCGTGACGTCGCTTCCTCCGACTCGGAGGATCTGGCCGAGCGTGTCAATCGAACGCAGACCATGAAGGGATGCCGGCGAGTCACCTGATCTCCGACCTTCACCTTCCCTGCCCTGTCGGCTGAACCACGGGGCACGACCTGCTTGACTGTCACCACCTTGGATTCCTCCTGCTCTCCCAGTAACAGTCCGACTCCCGCTTGCTCTGCGGGGCATGAATCAAGAAGCCTGCAGCACGGAGAAGCACGCACTTGAAGCAGAAAGAGCACGGTTGAAGCCAGTCATCGCCATGACTTGTGGTTGTTGGAGCGTCAATCAGAGAACGAGGCTTCAACCTGCGATGAATCAACGCCATGCAGGTTCAAGGTGCGATGTGCTTGAAAAGTTCCCGGCACCCACAAACTTGACAGTGAGTGAAAGCTAGACCCGCTGCTCAACTCCCTAACTCAGGCTCCCCCTTGGACATCTGCTACATCCTCATGGATGACTCACTGATTGGGTCCAATACTATTGAGTACAGTCTGCTCCTGCCGCACAAGGACTGCTCCTCGTGGACGCACTCGTAGTGCTGCCACCCGGCGGCTGCGCCTGACAGTCGCAGGGGAGCTGCCGCAGCTCTACTAGTACCATACTCGGGCTCAGTCAAGTGCCGCACGGCCTCGCCGTCGCTCCTGCGGCATTGCCCGCCCATCCTCTCATCCGTCATCGAGTTCAAACCACCCTACCCCTCCCCCCCTCCGGTCAAACTCGACCCTACGGCGTTGACCCGAGGGCCGGGCCCGGAGTCGGGCCGGCCCGATCGGACCGAAGCTGTCCGATCACTGAGTTCTGCTAGGATCTGTCAAGGCTTCTTCCGTGCTCGCCTCAGAGACAAGCACGTGAACTCTTGCTGCCAGCCCCCACCCCCACATTGATCACTACCCTACCCTCTTTGTGGATTGGGTGGATCCACCCCTACCTCAGACATGGGGAACCCCCCTTCAATCACCATAGGTACCCCGTTTTGGTTTCTCAGCAGGTAGGGTACCCTCCAATCTACCAATGTGATGCCACCCTACCCCCACCTTCGGAATTGTCATGGCTACCTCACCCTCGAATTATTCTATTAGAGGTACCCACCCCTACTGTCTTCGTACCCCTCCAGGGTACTAATAATTCTGGATACTACCCCTACCCCCATGATTGGCTCCGCGTTCCCTCGCTTCCCTCCTCCTGCCAGCGCCGCCCCTCCTCTCCCCCCTGCCCCCCTCCCTCCCCTTCTCTCCCTCAACCCTCTATCTGCTCCTCCCACACTCTCAACTCTTACTTCCTCCTTCATCTTCTTCCACCTTTACCCTCGTGTCTCGTCCGCCCCTCTCTTCCTCCTTCCTGTTGGCGGCGCTTCCTTTCTTGGTATACCTTCTGCCCCCGACAACCTCCTCAACCGTTGGGGGGCTCGGGAGGATATTGAGGACGTCTCGACTAGAAAGACTTTCCTGTTACATTGTTCTCACTCTTTTGTCTCTGGCCTCCTCGTTTGTGACTGCTCGGCTCGCACAGGTTCCTTCTCCTCGCCTGAAGAAGAGCTCCCTGAGGGTTGGGATCGGCTCTGCTTCCCCCGTTGCACCTAACAAGAAGACCTCTTGGACCACCCCAGAGTTGTATCACTCGACTAACATCCCCTGGGAAAGCAACAACGAGAGCGCGATGACGGACCGCAAGCGTAAGATCGACTTGGGCGACGGAGGAGACCCCAAGAACTCCAGGCCGAGGGACGTGGGAACGGCGGCTAACCCGGGGGTGAACCCTCTGACGGGCCGCCAGTTCTCGCAGAACTACTACAAGATCTTGGAGAAGCGTCTTAACCTTCCTGTGTATGAGTTCAAGGAGAGTTTCATCCAGACTGTACGCGAGAACCAGATTGTAGTGCTGGTTGGAGAGACTGGGAGTGGCAAAACAACGCAGATCACGCAGTTCCTTGTAGATGGTGGCTACTGCCAGAGAGGGGCAGACGGCAAGGTCAGGGGCATTGCATGCACACAGCCTCGAAGGGTCGCTGCAATGAGTGTTGCCCGGCGTGTTGCTGAGGAGATGGATGTTGAGCTCGGGCAGCAAGTCGGTTACACCATCCGTTTCGAGGATTTGACAGGACCGAACACGATCCTCAGGTACATGACAGACGGTATGCTCCTCAGAGAAGCCATGAACGACCCTCTCCTCGAGCGCTACTCGTGTGTTGTGCTGGACGAGGCCCACGAGAGGACGGTCTCGACAGATGTCCTCTTCGGCCTCATCAAGCAGGTTGTCAGTCAGAGGAAGGACATGAAGCTGATTGTCATGAGTGCCACTCTGGATGCTGGCAAGTTCCAGCAGTACTTCAACGACTGCCCAAGAGTCGATGTCCCTGGACGCACTTTCCCAGTTGAAATCTTCTACACCCAGGAAGCAGAGAGGGACTACCTTGAAGCTGCCATCCGCACAGCAGTGCAGATTCACCTCTGCGAGCCACCAGGAGACATTCTTCTGTTCTTGACGGGTGAAGATGAGATCGAACAAGCCTGTGCCAAGATCGATGCTGAGCTTAAGGGTCAGAACGACAAGGAAGTTGGCCCAGTAACTTGCGTTCCTCTTTACTCCGCTCTCCCACCTCACGAACAACAGAAAGTTTTCGATCCTGCTCCACCACCAAAGTTTCCGGGAGGACCAGCTGGAAGGAAAATCGTGGTTTCGACCAACATTGCAGAAACATCCTTGACAATTGATGGAATCGTCTATGTGATCGATCCCGGATTCAGCAAACAGAAGGTGTACAACCCCAGGATTCGAGTAGAATCCTTGCTCGTCACGGCTATCTCTCAGGCAAGCGCGAACCAGCGAGCAGGTCGTGCAGGACGTACAAGGCCAGGGAAGTGCTTCCGTCTCTACACTCAGAAGGCATTCCACAAGGAGCTGCAGGAGCAGACTTACCCCGAGATGCTCCGATCGAACTTGGGGTCTGTTGTGCTCACCTTGAAGAAGCTGGGGATCGACGATCTGGTGCATTTCGACTTCATGGATCCTCCAGCCCCCGAGACTCTGATGAGAGCGCTCGAGCTCCTCAACTACCTCGGAGCTCTGAATGACGATGGTGACCTTACTGAGCTCGGCGCCACAATGGCTGAGTTTCCTCTGGATCCTCAGCTGGCGAAGATGCTTGTGGCAAGCCCTCAGTACAACTGTAGCAATGAAATCCTCTCGATAGCTGCAATGCTGTCGTCGCCAAACATTTTCATGAGGCCAAAGCAAGCGCAGCGAGCGGCAGATGAAGCGAAGGCTCGCTTCTCGCACGTGGACGGAGATCATTTAACCTTGCTGAATGCGTATTATGCCTGGAAGTCGAATGGAGAAGATAAGAAATGGACCTACGACAACTTCTTGAATTTCCGCTCACTGCAGTCGGGTGACAGCGTTCGTCAGCAGCTGGCACGCTTGATGGCCAAGTACAACCTACCCTTGACCAGCACTGAGTTCAACAGCAAGGACTACTATGTCAACATCCGCAAGAGCCTTGTCTCGGGATTCTTCATGCAAGTTGCACACCTAGATCCATCCGGCCACTACCAGGTGTGTGACTGAAAGCATTTTCATCATTGCGAGGACTGACAGCCGTTTTAGACGGTCAAAGACAACCAACCTGTCGCGCTCCATCCCTCTTGCTGTTTGGACCACAAGCCCGAATGGTGTCACACGTTTGGATGGTGTGAATGTTCCACACTGACTGTCCGGCAGGTGCCTCTACCACGAGTTCACCCTTACCACCAAGCAGTTCATCCGCACAGTGACAGAGGTCAAGGGCGAGTGGCTGGTTGACATCGCCCCACAGTACTACGACTTGAGAAACTTCCCTCAGGTCGAGAGAGCTTCCTTCCTTTCCGTGAGCTCAGGCTGACGCTTTTCGACAGAGTGGAGCGAAGCGAGCACTGGAGAAAATCGTTGCTCGTCGCAAGGCGAACGCATAACTCTAGTGGGACTGTGACAGCCGTTGGTTTCCTTGTTGGACTCTTTTCCTGTAATGAATGCAATGATATATCGTAATTGCTGGTCTCGAGGTATAATCAGCGCATGGTCACTGATAAGTTGGAAATTCACTGAACCGTCACCATCACCATACTCCGCGGCGGCCGAGCAGTCGGCTGGCTACTGTCCGATCAGTTCCACTGGCACTGCGAAGAATCACTGAGCTCCCGAGTCCCGAGATCACAGTCACTGAGTCACTGAGACTCGATGATGATCACAGGCTGTCACAAGTGCCGCGCAGTGCACTCAAGACAACTAATGGCACGGCGACAGAAGAGACGACGTTGAACTTGCTTGTCGGAAACGATAAAAGAAAAGCTGAGGTGGTTCTTCAGCAGCCTGCCCCCAGCCTGCCAGTGAAAGCAATAGAAGAGCCACGGCGAGAATGGTTGACATAAAAAGATTAGCTCGGGAGGCTGAGGGGTCCCCTCATGTGGGAGGGGTGGAGACTTGCTTCCTCAACGGGGAATCGAACCCCGGTCTCCAGGGTGAGAACCTGGTATCCTAACCGCTAGACGATTGAGGACTTCCCGATCTGTTGGGCAGGACCCTCCTAGGGTTGATATCCCCTGTGCCTCTCATGCATACCCCCACCCCTCATTTTCCCTCTCGCTACCCCTTTGTTTAGCGTGTTGTGCGTTGGCCACTCGATGTTCGCCGTATACTACCCCACCCATCTTGTCAGAGTAAGAATCCACCACCCCTAGTCCTGGACCACCCCCTCCCCATCGATCAATGCGCGGATGGAAAGAACCCGAGGCGGGTCGTGCAGGGAATCGAGGTCACAGAGCCGCGAGAAGGACCGTGTGGTGCAATCAGGGGGTAGTGCTGCTAAGAATGAGGGGTGGGGGTATGCATGAGAGGCACAGGGGATATCAACCCTAGGAGGGTCCTGCCCAACAGATCGGGAAGTCCTCAATCGTCTAGCGGTTAGGATACCAGGTTCTCACCCTGGAGACCGGGGTTCGATTCCCCGTTGAGGAAGCAAGTCTCCACCCCTCCCATACGAGGGGACCCCTCAACCTCCCGAGCTAATCTTTTTGGACCCCTACCCACTCCACTTCTGCTGCCTCGAAGGACCACCCTCGCTAGCACCAGTCGAATCCATTTCTTTTACTAATTTTTAGTAGTACCCCTGGTATCTACTACCCCTTCCTCCCACCTTTCTCTGGAGCGTCAGCAACCAAACATTAGGGGTTTTATGGATGACCTTCTGAATAGCGTAGCGTAGTGTGCCCACTTTAGTTAACCTGGAGAAAGGGGTTAAGATCTAGGTTAAATCCATAGGTGATCCCAGTTCAAGACTCCAGTTATCAATTTGTACCACAACCCACTCTTTTTTTGAACTGTTAGAAATTTGTTCCACCGATGCATTCAAGTTCATGAGGTAGACATGCAATGAGGACAGAATGAAGATCGGATTCGCATGCAAAGGTCATGCTACACTTGTATGAGGTTCCAGCATCACGTATATTGCATGATTCTCTCATGTGGTATGCCTGATGCAGTCATTCAGAACATCAACAACATGAAACGGTAGTCTTTTATTGCATGAACTTCGTCACTTCCAGCGAATGTTCTCGATGTCTGGGTCTTCCATTTAGGATTTGCGGTTCCAATGCACGCTTTCCAATGAGCAATTCACTGGAATCTGCATAGCTTGACACACTGATTCTCAGAAAGCAGCGACGTTTGCCCGTTGCAATTTCCGCTTTACCTCTGCTTTTTCTTCAACCTATGTATGTTACTGTGAAAACGTTCTGTATGTGGCCATATGTTCTAGTAAACGATGTCATTCAGAATCTCAGAGCCATTGTCCTCATTGAGCACACAACAGGGAAGCAGTCATCATCAAAATATTGCTGTTTCAGTGATGTTCAACGAGCGACGAGAACCGATTATAAAGAGTCAGGGTACGCTCATGCTTGCATACTTGCACGAGTCTTTTCTGACAGGATGGGTGTTGACGTCATGTTGTCAGTCAGATGGGGAGGCCAAGGTACACGACAAGGAGGTCGGGCGAGCATGCTCACGCCATGTTAACGCGGTGTGGAACGCGCTGTCTGGGGGCGGGTCGTCGGCTTTTACCGAGATGTCGAAACGTTGCGATTTAGCTATTCAAACGCTATTCAGGCCCTGAATAGTGACA